TTCTTCACGAGCATTGTCCAAGCTGCGTCGATTCTACCACTAACCATCAAGAGCTCCTGCGCCGATTTGCCGTGGTACGCAGGAGGAACATCGGGAAAGCCCAGCTTGACAGGACACTTGGCTTCTGGGTCGCACAAGCGCACTTGACGACCGTTGACATGGATCAAATTGTTAGGATGTTCCAGGACGTAAGGGATGCGCTGAAGAGGTCCAAGTCGACTCTTTCCTCCCCCATGAACGTTGCAGTAGTCGATGAGATCGCCCACGATCTGGTGCGCCGGCGATTGAGGAATTCTCATAGCGCCAACTTCGAACCAATTGTCTTGCTCATCATTGAATCGGTGAGTCTGGATACGACCCCCGACGCGGTTAGACGCCTCGAAAATGTCGACATCCCAGCCTGCGCGCTGCATCAAGATGCCGGCATACAGACCGGAGACTCCTGCCCCCGCAATCGCCAGCTTCGGCTTGGACCCTTCAACCCCGCGCTTCGGAACGGAGCTGCTAGTGCTCCCGGATCCTCGTGCTACTGCCGAAACGTGGGACATGACGGTGACGCTGAGCTGATCCGGAGTGGCGCAAGTCTTGGCAAGGTACAGCAGTGGATACTCTTCTGTGTTGACGACGTTGGAATGCAGTGGAGTGCGAGATAAGGTACGAGATGTCAGATGCTATTATTGCGGATGGGTGTGGCTAGCGTGACAAAGATAAGGAAGTTTGATTTTTGATGTCCTGGGAAAACCGAATCTGGGTGTCCTTGCAAGTAGCCTAGATATGGGATACTGAGACATCTCCTGCTCGCTCTTCTCGAAGCAGCGATAGTGCCAGAATTCCTATCGCCACACCTGAGCCGTCACATACTGAGCTTCATGATGTACGAAGCAGTCAAGAAGCTAAGTAGGGAAGTTGCCGGGCGCATCTTCTCGCTGTGTGTTTCACAGCCCCTTCTGACGTGATGGTTGACACCACTGCACGTCTAGCCTGCCTTCTGCCGTCACCGCGACGAGGTTTCCAAGAAAGGAAGCTTTCTGTAAAGTATGGCTTGGACTTTGGTCTGTCCAGTATCGCAAAGGTGCTCGCGCGTTTGGTACGTCTCAGACACCTCCAAACCCAATATATCTGCTCAATCAATGCATATGCGAGAGCGTTGAGTTTGTGTACAGCTCACTAAAATTGTCAAGACAGGCCATCACCTGCAAAACTTGCAGTCCAAAGAGGTGATGCACTATACCGTACATGCGCTTGCCTTTGAGTAATCGCAATTTGGGGCACAGTCACATCATCTAACATAAGACTACAGCGCAGCGCACGTCAAACAATGCCTTTATCCAAGCCCGTGTAGAGATGCTGAAGGAGGCACCCTTGAAACGTACCGGAAGTAACTTCA